GTTTCTGCGAGGGTCTGAACAAGGTTAGACTAGACTGGACATTTTGTTCCGTTGTTGGCTGAGGCGGGGCGAGCAGCCCAGCTTTACTGCCAGCACGGCTGACAATGTCACCAACCGCCAGGCACTGAGCATGGCGCTTCACTAATGGACCTTTGCAGGGTTGGGGACCAGGAAGCAGGCTTTTGTTTTGATGCAGGCTTCTGCTACACAAATAGTTTTTGTGGGAGAGGGGGGGGGGGAAACAAACTGACTTGGAAAGAGATTGGGAAGAGCTATTTGGCAGGGAAGAAATATGGGACACTGCTTATTAATTTTAATTGTAACAATCTGACATATTTTTATGCTTACATTGGAGCTCTGAGATTATTAAACTCCACATGGTTAAACACGCTTCAATTAGTCTTTCAGTCAGCTTGAAAATGTATTTTTCTTGAACCACCAAAAAGGTCCAAAGAAGGGAGATTCAATCGTACCCATTTCTATCCCTTCAGGTGGAGGAGGCCATGAAGAAGAAGGGCCACGAGTACATGTGGAACCAGCATCTGGGCTACGTCCTGACCTGCCCGTCCAACCTGGGCACTGGTCTGCGTGGTGGAGTGCATATTAAGATCGAGGGTATGTCCAAGGACCTGAAGCGTCTGGACGACATCTTGGACAAGCTCCGTCTGCAGAAGCGTGGCACCGGTCAGTAACAAATCTACAACTGTATGGTACCATGATACCTCATTATGATGCTAGTTTAGTCCATGATTTAATGCACAACAATCTTAATCACTTTGTGGTCTCAAATGTTTACCAAGGCTGACGTGATAGTGTTGCTCTGTTACTAATTTTGCACAAAATGAAAACCAGCATACTCTCTTCATTGTTTTGTTAGGTGAACTGTTAACTGTGGTGCTTGATTATTCAAAGGTACATAATATACATACATACACGGCATTGTAGTTCTAAGTTCTCCATTACACGTATGTTACTAACCAGTCCTCCCGTCCCCCAGGTGGTGTGGACACGGCTGCTGAGGGTGGCGTCTACGACATCTCCAACGCTGACCGTCTGGGCTCCTCCGAGGTTGAGCAGGTGCAGTGCGTGGTTGATGGCGTCAACCTCCTGATCGAGTGCGAGAAGAGGCTGGCGGAGGGCAAGTCCGTCGACGACCTGCTGCCCAAGACCAAGCGCGCCAAGTAAACGGGTTTCCGCTCTGCGGGTCCCTCGCTGCCTTGGGTTCTGGTGGGACACAGGATTGTGCCAACATAGCCTGTCTAGATTGTTGTGTAGTTCTGACGTAGGTCTGAAAGTTCACATGCAGTCTAGATGTTTTCATGTGATGTAAACGTTATACAGAGCAGGGTTATGTGATTGTCTTTGGAGTCTATAGGGGGGAGTCTAGAGTGGAGGAATTTGCTTGGAGGGACGACAGTCGGCTTGTGCAAAGGTACGCTGAGGGAGAAGTGTATGGAAAGACAAATATTATACCATTGTACCTATCATTTGTGAAATGTGAAAATAATAATCAGGACGTTTCTACGATGCCATAGAAATAGTTTCTTTGCAGTCAACATAGAGGCACGCCACCAAAATCCAAGTGCAGGTATCACCCAATGTGTAAAATACTGAACCTGAGAAAAGAGAAAACAAGTATGTATCAGATGATAATATACGAGCATGAAGAATCTTATTGTCCAATAAAGTCAGCTGCGTTATGTTTCTGGCACATCAGTCGTGTTGGATGTTGTGTTGTTTTCTGCATGCTGTAGAGCCACGCTTATCTGTAGCTTCAGACGCACAAGTCTCAGCTTCAATTCTCTGAGCTTGAGTTTATAATAAAAAGACAAAAAAATCATTGTCTTATGATTGTGATTCTGTAAGAAGGTATTGAAGCACCAGCAAAAGGGGATGGCTCAGAGTCCATGTAGGTCAAACATTGTCCAGACCGTACTTTGGTACAAGTTTAAAATTTGTTTGGCACATGTCTTACAGTATGACATATTTTGGGGATAAAACACAGCATAAGCAATCTCTTCCAAATTACTAATTTTTGATCAGCTTTTTAAAGCTGATCTAGAACTACACAAATAAAGACTGATACACACATGGTAAAACTATATGTGGATGATAATCAGTGAAAAGCTAATACCAAATGATAAACTGTAGAAAAGCAGACCATATGTTATGTGGAGAACTGTTCTGTAAAAGGTGCCCACAAGGCAAATGCAAGTTCAATGGCAAGAATTCTTCAAGGTTACATGTGACCTTGGGCTCGTCAATACTTCAACTCCACCAGGAAAGACTTCTCAAGGATAAACCGTATGCCTCAGAAAGTTTCCCAACAGGAGGAGCTACCACTACAGTATGTTCCAGACTTGTACAAACATATCACCAAGAATTAACACTTCACAGAGGTAAAATGCAGGGACCTGCCAAATGGCTGGTGAGATGGTTGAGAAAGAGTCTGTGCTCTTCATACTGCCCATGCTGTAAATAGAGTGAAGGAAGATTTCCTAAAGTTTACTACATCTGCATGGCAGTTTACCTTATTCAGAAACCACACGTAAGGGTTGTGGAACATGGGGTGTAACTTGTGTATTCAACAAGATCCATCACAGATTATAATCGCATTGTGTGAGGGTTGTACATTCTTGTGGTAAGCCCACTGGGAAAGATAAATATCTACTGCAGTCTTCCACTAAATGGTTTCTAAAGTGAGCACCAGACTGTACCCATGAGAGCCAGTTAAGGATTCTACCCCAAGGCTTTAATTTTGACGTGGAGTTGGCAGCGTAAGTGCAAGTCTGGGAGCAACACAAAGGGTACGTGTATTTAGGCTACTGAAAAATGGTCATAAATCTTACTCCCCAAATTCATAACCTCAGTCGTTTTTCAATTTCCTTTAAAAAAATGATATAAATTCCATTGACACACGTGTACACGTACCTTGTAGGCTGTAAGATGTACAACATGTTCATCATACCAGTATGAAGATAAATGGAAGGTCTCTGCAGACCCCTGCGAGTCAACTTATCTACAAAAAAAATACCCCTTTTCTCCGACATAACACAGAATCGGGTGTTGATAAAATTACTGATGAGTATTGGGTAAGCCTTGACCTTGGCAAGTGACCTTCAAACATTGGTTGGAAAATTCTTAGCCCTACTCCTGTTTCAGAACAGTGGCTGTATACTTCACATTGGCAGACATGGAAACAATTCCAGTCATTCTGTGAACTCAATATTGTGTGACGGCAGGAATAGCTGGCCCCTGGACAAACACCAGGCATTAAACTGTCTTATGAAGGCAGCCAGAAATACCAGTTTTAGTCAGCTCAAATATCAACGGAAGACATTTTAGAAATATCACTAAGGCAAATCTCATGTGAGACTATTGCAATGCAAGCCTTCCTCATGGCATTTTAGGCATCTTTTCTAATTCCTATGATATAGCCCTAAACCCAAGATCTGCCTGGAGTTAGATCCAGTTTTTTTTATAAACATATGTATATACATAAATGCTCTGGGATTGTAGTCAATATTGTTTGTCCCTCCCCACTTACATGTAGCACCCATGTTTCTTCATAGTCTCCACAAAAAGTGTCTTGACCTTCAAATGTGGTAGCTAGTGCAATGTCTGATGAAAATGGATTGTCAAGCTCTTTAAAACATATCCCCTGAACCATAACCTCTGGTGCCTGTACCATAACAGGTGCAGGCTGTATGCAATGTCCATCAGATTTAGGCCATGATACAGTTACAGGGGCACTGAGTCAACAAGAATGGCTCCTGCATGCAGCAAAGAACATGAAGCAAGTTTGACCTTTGGTGTTTGTTTGTTCATGTATGTGTAGGTCTGATGTCCAGTATTAATGCACCAATACTGCCATATGTACATGAATGTACGTGTGTGTGTAGTGAATTATGCACTTCATGGCTCAAGGACAATCTGCCATGTAACTAACACACATGTACATTGCAACCACAACATTCCCCTATCACCCTTAAATAGCCTGGTATCAGCAGCTGACCAACTGACCAGTATATCAGTATCAACCAACATAGGATATTCATTACAGTTCTGTGATGATATCTGCACACTTTTGTAGCCCGTCCCAGTTTTTAAAAAAGCCAGCGGCAACATTCACAACAAATATGTGGGGCAAAAAACCTCCTTGAGAGTTCTGGAGAATGGTGGCCTAGCCTTAGCCAAGAATGTTGTTTGGCTGACAAGAGTAGAGTGCTGTTTAAAAAAGGATGTCTTCGGTAAGTGCCTGAGTGTTAAGTGGAGATGGGGATACTGCCATACTGAGAAATGTTTACTCGGTTGATACAAGTTCCAGAAATATGTACATTGACAACAGCAGTCACGAGACCAAACATTCACCAATCAGCACAAAGCATTTATTCTATCACATGGTGCAGTTCTGCATACACCTGCTAGGTTGTGTACATAAGCAGGTAACTTGTCGCATTGTTGTGTGCACTACAAAGTTCATCTTTTTAACTGTTTTCTTACTGTGTAAAGCAGTCTTGCTTCAAGAAATCATTTGACATGTTCTGAATACAATATGCGCAGATTTTTGGTAAAAGTTGAAGCTGAACCTTCAAGCTGCATTAGTAAGACCAGAGTAGCTTCTCGAAAACTAAATCAATGTAATGGTTTGTCTTGAGTGTTATGATAGGTAGTGGCTATACACTCAATTCATTACACTATATGCAATATTTTCAGGTTGTGTTTCAGCAAAATTCTTCAAATCATTTATTTCAAAACATATCTGGTTGTGTTTCAGCAAAATTCTTCATTATTTCAAAACATATCTCGGAACCAAGGAATGAACTCCTGTGGCCTAACTGTATGTGTAACTAACCAACCTGTTCATGTACAAAGGGCATTCTCGAAAACCATAATACAAAGAGAACAGGCCTTGGAATAGGTACTTTCGTAGTACCAATTTAGGGCAAGGTTCCTCATCAGAAAAGTAAGGTTCTTGCAATTGTTTTACAAGGTTTACAAACCATGCGATGGTGTCAGACAATGCCTTCCACTTGTAGGAAGCTGAGAGTGGCAGAGGTGAGAGTTGCCACAGGCTTTCACATGCCCATAACCACAGTTAGCAGGCTGGGTCGAAGACAAAGCTCACCTCTGAACCCCCAACATTCCTGCATGAATCTTCATCTAAACACCTTCTCACATCTTTTCAGCATGGGTTGGCAAATGGACAGAACTGTCAACTTAAAATGTTCCACACGATTGTCCCCCCAATTAATAACACATTTAACCAAAAGATAATCAGGTTGCTGTAAAGTCTATGCATTGTTCTCTGCTTGTAAATGTATTAATTTTTAAAAGTGCAGATTGATTACCAGTATCTGTTTAGGCCACCAAATCAACCAATGCTAAATCAGGCCACATTGATTTCATTTCTTGGTTCTTGAAAAAAGAGAGAGAACTGAAGAAACTGGTTGTAATGATGGTAGGTTGTTCTCCAACTTATGTCCATTACCCTCAGTATCTTGAGACAAAAAAAGTAACCTGAGCAGCTTCATACACATGCCTGCCAATTAGGTGGCTCAATTTCTTACTGAAGTATGTGTCTGTCTGCATATTTGACTTCTGGCATTTAACATTACACAAAAGCTGGAAGGGTGAATGAATGGAGGAACTAATCAGCAATGTCTTTGGAAGAATATGAGATACAATGAGGTAATATCATGAAGCCTTTCTTGAGATATTTACATACACAACACTTCTTACTCCTTACCTCAATGCAACTCAAATTGTACATAATACAATCAAGATTTCACATAAGTATACAGTCACTACATTACAATTGCTTCTCATTTATCCAAAACTTCAACCATTCATGAGGCAATAAATTAAAAGGTTTGAGCACCAAGTGAGTGGCGACCATTTCTGACGTGGACGGTGTCACACATCACACAGGAATGTATCCATGATGCTGCAATGATACAAGCTAGCTGGTAAATATTGTGACTAGGGCGGTCAGGTTGTCTACAAATTTGAAGTAATGTAGTTTGTGCTGGATATCAATGGCTTGTAGATTTTGCAAAGTGATGCATACACCACTGCATAGCACACTGTACCTGGAGGTGTACATGTAATTGCTCTTCTTTGTCTTATTGTTGCTGAAGTGTAGTTTACACGTTTGAACCATAATAGAGGAACATCTAATGTACAGAACAGTTTCCATTCCCTCATCAGGCCACACAATCACATTTTAATGCTCTTAGATAAGCCCTTAGACTTTCAAAACAAGCCTACCAGTAATAACTGAAAAAAAAAGATTGATGACAATAGCCAACTTTTTGGAGCTTGTCAAAATTCTCTAATGCACTACCTTGTATTTATAACAGTAGCTTTTATTATTACTTGTACATTGTAGCTATTACTGGTAGTGTTGGTGACTTTTGTCTGTTCAAACTAATGCCCAGCACAAAGCTGTGATTTCTTAATTCTTTTAGACAGATAATCTAATTTGAGTGGTAAAGTTCACAGAACTTTGACTTGCTGGTGTGTCCTACAGGTTTCTCACATCCCAAAACTTTCTCCCTAAGCACAAGACAGAGCACCATACATTCACACAGGCAGCATACACACAAGCGGAGGACTAAAAGGCAGATCAGCTGTTCTCAGGTTAGACACTATTTACAGTTACCCTTTATAGGCTGCAGTCCTAGAGAACAATCATAGCAAAAATATCACACAAGGGGAACATCAGCTTCATCATCGTGTTGGGTAAACTTGATCTTCTAGTCAGGCCCTTATGGGTGTGACACCTATCAGAGAATCTCTGAACTGCAAGTGGTTTTCACCAGAATGTGCATGGAACTGATCTGACCATGTCAAGCTACACATCTGATGTGCAGAAGAAGTCATAGTAAGGGGTGATGCACCACAGCAGACTAGGCATATATGTAGACATTTACAACTTCTTGGTTTGGTCTTAACATTATCTTATCATGAGAAGATTGTGCAAGCTCACAGTGATCTGAATGGACTCAACTGCTCATGTTAATCACCTCATGTATGTTACGTTTCTAGGTATGTAATCTGTAGAAGTTGTTTTGTGCTTGTGTTCTATTCTAATTTTTTTAATTTCAGAAACCCAACTAATTAACTGACTCACATGTTGTTATCATGACTGACCTATACTGTACATCCATACACACTCTTGTCAGCTTTAAGAGAAGCATTACATTCCACAATACTATTGTACCCTAACTCCCTTTCAGACCTGTAAGTCTTGTGGTATGACAACACCTCCTAGTCCCAGTGACCATCTGTAATTTTTGTGATTTGTTTGTAAGTAGTAAGATGTGGAGCAGTAAGTACAAGTGAAAATGTTGTTACATGTATTCCCCATCAACAATATACATAAAATTCAATCATTCCTTTACAAGTTGAGAAGCCTATTTTTCGTCATTGAGATTCCCTTGATACCCATAACCTGTCAGGTCGGAGGTTACAGGTCAGAGGTTGGAGTTCAGGGTGCCTCTGCAGACCTGCCGTCCATCAGCTGGTCGTGGCTGCTGCTGCGGGCGGCGAGGCTGCCACTGGCACGGCGGCCGGCCTGCGGGAGGGGGAACAAAACTATGTTGGTTCAACTATTCAACAGGTGTGACAAAATTCTAACTTCATGACCTTCCAGAGTCAACCCTACCAACGTCTCTTAGATCCATAATGCGTCTTTACCAGAAATTTCTGTCTTGTCACTAACCATTAGCCCGCTGAATCACCAGTTTATCAGTACTTGTATGGAGGACGGAAGTCAACCATGTTACAGTGTAAATCAAGGCGCTGACAGACCCACCTGATACTGTTCCTCGCTGGCCCGAGAGGTGTTGATGACAGACAGGGAACTAGCACGCTTCATGCTGGGGAGAAATGGGAAGGGATAATCAGTACAGCAACCATGACAAATCCTCTAGGTAGCCTTCTATTACTCTACATACATGTATAATACAAGATTAATGAGCAGTCAAGCTGAAAAGCAGGGCTGGTTAGCTCAGCATTTTGCCATGCATGACAGCAGGCTGGTAATTAGCCAGCAAACCTTGACAGCTTCAGCCATTGCTATTACATGCAACATGCAACATGCACATTGTGAGCGGAGCAATATGTCATGTAACATCAATTTTTCTTCATTCTGAGACATCTAATGCAATCATGTGACAAAAGAAATACACACATGTAGAAACAAGGTGTAGCTTGCATGCAGACTGTATTGGTCTAACTACAGTAAACCAACACCACATTTGTTATTTTGTTCTTTTTCTTCAAACCATTTGTCCCAGAACCAAGTAACAAAATCTACTCCAATTATAAAGAAGAGAATTACACACCACAGAACTAACCTAGTCTAATGTACACACAGTAACTCACAGGAAATTTTACAACAATATACATCCACAGTCAGTATGTAGTATCCCTGGCTATGATATACACCACAAAAAAACACACTATTAAGAGGTATAAGCAGCACACCATGCAGTTAGTTCAGCAACTACATGTACATGTACATACAGCCAGCACCATGCACCAGCCATGCGAGGGGAGGGGGGCACGACTACCTGAAATCAGACAGGATCTTACCATGGTGCGCCATGTTACCACAGAATGTGTCTGCTCCCACTAACAGTGGGCACTGGTACTATGGATGGGTCCACACTGGTTAGCATTCAATTGGTTTTGTTCTATTATGAATGTATTATGTATGGGATAAGATATGACATGGTATGTAATATGAAATGGAAGAGATGGAGCTTAATTAAAATTGCTCTATATTTCAGTATGTAAAGTCAAAAATGGACGATAGAAACTTGTCTCCATACTAATGTTCCAAAATGGAAACAAAAGGCAGGAAGGAAATCAGATGTCTCTTTTCGTGAACAGAGGAAAGCACATGCAGATATTGTTTTGAGTTTTGCATACTGAATATGATGATTGATGAAACAATAAAACAGATCAGAATAGCAACTTGTAACTTTTGACAGGTTATGCCTCGTACAGAAATATGGACGTTTTTGTATATTTAAAGAAAATGGATGTGCTTTGATATGCTGTTGTAAAATTTGACTGTTTTTTTTGCAGATAATTGGATTAAAATTAAGAGATAATATATGTGGTAAGGATGATCCATCAACTGGGAAAACTGGTGCAAACAACATGCTATGAAACTGCTAAAGCAAAACTGATATGCTGAATACATTTTAAGTTGAACTGGACAGAATATCATCAATTTGTAAATACTCTGACTGCCTATAAGATCATTATATTCCAACTGGATCTAAAAACGGGAGATTTCCTGGGTGACATCTTGTATATTACACTGTGGAGGTGAACCCATGGGGATAAGCCCACTCTTAACAATTTTATTCCAGTTCTATGGTTTCATGGGCAAATTCTTTTAGCATGAGATGGATCCATGGGGAACTAGGCATGGTACCTCAACATGCTACAGCAGCCAAACGCTCAAACAAGAGCTGCCTAGCCTTTGCATGGCTGGAATATTAACAGTAACTGTTAGTAAATGCAGAATCAAGGATACATTTCTCTAACATGATATTTATAAAGAAGCGCACGCCAACACATGATTGCTGGATGTTTATTAGCAGATGGACAGCTTGACAACAAAGCACTACCAGCCAGAGATGCCTTTCTGAAACATGTCTCATTTCACATGCCTCTGCTAGAGGATCAGAGACATACAACTCAAAAGTACCGGCGGGTCTGGGCTAAGGTTCACGTCATTTCAGTCAATTCCTTCTCAATCAATTTGTGGCTGATTTGACATGAAATCGCACATACAAGTTGGGAATAATTCATACATGAAAATATATGAAATATAACACATTTTGTAAAAAAGTAGTGTTTCAGTGGGAAAATATTCCCACTGAATCAACAGTAGTTTCCATCCTCATCAAATAATCATTGTTGCAATCCACCATAGCAGAAGGCCCTTTGACAAGGGTCTTCCACATAAACCCTTTTTATACCTTTGAATCAATAGATGGGGTTAATCTAAACCAAACACAAGATATCGATACATTTCATTCTTTCAACAACTAAGAAAATCCCAATGTCTGGGGCATTGGTACTATGTTCTGGGTCTTAAATTGTTCTGGCATGGGATAAACACTTCTCATTCACTCAGGAATAGCCAGAATTTATGGCTTAGCCAATCCTCATGGAAGACCTCAACGATAATGATAAAAACATACAAAAATAGAAAAAAATGTCGTGCTTTGAACAAATCTCTTATCTTCACAATAAATAAGGCATTCAAGAGGGTAAGCCTCTATACAGAGAAGACCAATCTGACTTAAAAGGTGGTTCAGACATAGCTTCTTGTCTTCAAATATAGATACATTCCTCCAGACTTCATTTTGATTCAAATTCTGGAGGATCTGATAAAATATTTATTTTAATGCAAATGAACACACTGATTCTAAATCAAAAGTATCGGGTATGGTCCTCCACAAATACCACATACAAGTCCGAGCAATTAGAAGCTCTCTTTCCATGTACATGTACCTTTTTCTCTGAGAATTCTTATCAAATATATACAACCTTGACAAAAGTTTCACTTCAGCCAAAATGAAGCCAAGAAAGTAATGGGAAGCACGTCAACATACATGTATGTCTGCATTCGTAATGTACATGTGTACCTCCTTATATGCTTAGCAAAACAAACACTTTGATAATGATACCTGTCTATTAACCAATGTCTTCAAACAATCACACAAGAAAATATTCTACATGTAATCAGTGACCATGAGTAAAACCTGGTGCAATCAATAGGATACAGCACATTTCATCTCCTGTAAAACAATGTTGAGATTCATGGTGGCAATCCCACCTAACCCCAGATATACATATCTTTTAAAAACTCACACCAAATCCTTTTTGCATGTTAACTTAATATGTTTTGAACAGAGTAGTGGAAGGCTGATGACATAATCATAAAAAAATCTGCAAAAACTAAAATCCTTCTCAGACACTGATTGTCATGTTGGAAAACACAAAATCGATTAACACAACATGAACAAATTTGTAGTCCCTCTTTTGAAGGAAGGTCATAACTGACACACAACAGAATTTTAATGTAATGTTTTTTTCTAAACGTTGACACTGCAAAACACTGAGTGGTGAAGACCTCTGTCCTTTTCTACTTCAGTATTTCATTTCAACCGTTATTACAAATTCCAGACTGTTGCCTCCCTACAGTGTTATGTCTTGATATAACAATAACTCACTGCCCCAATCAAATTGACAATCACCATGTGTACTTCTATGTCATACTGCATTCCTGACAGCTACAGACACGAGACCTTGATCTGTACTGGAATATTTGATTAGTCCATCTTTGTGGTCTCCTGTCAATCTGGGCGTGACTTGCAAGTTGTATGGGCAAAAATGATCTGTCTTTCCATAGCATGTGGACGTCAGATGGTAATGAGACAAACCAGAATTCTAGGGAGGCTACAACATGTGTAATAGATGCTGCTGAGGGGCTCAGCATCCTGCAATTAGGCTGCATGTCTGGCATCCTACTGGATGGAACGTGACTGGTGAAAGACAAGCATGCAAGCTAACGGACTGGGCACTTGTCCAAGACACACCAAAGAAGACACAGGCATTTCCGCTGTCACCAAACGTGCAGGCACAACACGACATCTCAGCAGTGGGAAGGTGACATGAGTGGTCACATGAGTGCTGATTGGCTGGTCCATAAAATGTGTTAATTTCATTAGAGGGATAAATCACATCAAGATACATCCATCATCTTGGGAGTCCAGGGATGATCCATTACTCTTCCCAACAAGCTTTGTACCAGTATCATCTTTAGCCACTCCTTTCGTCTTCCAAGAAATTTTTTTACAATATTTTCTGACATTTTGAGCTTTCAACACACAAGATTTGCCTTGAATAGAAACTCAAAGCCTTGTGTATCACCCAAAGTGATATTCCCCCGAATCCATAATGATTGATCCCCAGTCATGTCATAGTCCATCACTGCCATTTAGCACAGCCATGTTGCTGGGATGGTTGTGCTGGGAGCCACAGTGTGGCCATTTATCTGTGGCAATTCAAATCATTTCTGTACATCATTTCTTGCCACAGCCACCTGCCACTCAAAGGAGCTGTGGGGAATTTAGAATCCTGCAATTTTGCAGTGCAGTTCCAAAACTAGACACAATATATTCATCTTGCTACCTGTGACCTTCTGTCACAAATCAACCTGAGAAAGAGTCCATATAACAAAGGAAGACAACCAACCGTCTATTTTGCAACATTTTCTACTTACACCAGTGGCAAACTGCAGTTTCCCACAATGTGCCATGACGGCTAGACATATAGCCAAAAAGGCCATTCTTGTCACTTGAACCACACATACCGTACTTTCACACGTACAAGTGTTATTTCTGCCATTGTAACTCTATATATCATATTGAGACTTTGCATTACATTGCATAAGTGATTGTACAAAAATTTGGCTCTGGTCACTATATATTCATTACACAATTATTGTGACCTGCAATTAATGAATTCATTAATTTAGTGATTGTAACAATAAGATTGGAATTTGAGCTGCAATCCATGATCGTGAGAGAGAAATCTTCTTTCTGTTCCTTCATTGGAACCATTACACTCTTGATAACCTTGGGCAATACTGTACCCAGTTTCATATTATATGGAGAAAGCCTTCATGGCCATTGATTGGTCCATTTCACATCTAATAAGAAATAGGAAACTAAACAGTAGTGGCATGGAGGTACTCCTGTGCTAGTGGAAAATAAAGGATTGATGGATATTTGTTTTAGAAGATTGTATCTGTCATAGACTGAGGTTGATGGAACCATCAGCCCAACAGCTACACATACAATTTTTCTTCTCTAAAGTAGAAAAAGGAAAAGCTGTTTGAACTTCCATCTTGTAAGACATCTTTGAAATAAACATTTTAACATTCCAACAAAATGGTAATTCAGTACATTTAAACAAAAGGAGGATTGTGTCCCCCTCACGGTCATGGAGCACAGCATTATTATATAAGAAATGGATATAAGGCAATGACGGCAGCAGTGCACACTGCTTCATACTGACACACACATTGATCAAAGGTTGGCTTCACTCTGCACCATAGAATCCAGGAATGGAAGCCTGGGTCTGTGCAGGGATGGACGGCTCATTCTGACATTGTCAGCTGGCAATCATCTAACCTCACAATATCCACCGTAGGAGCAGAACATTTCCAAGCTCCTTTGATGACAAATATAATGTTTTTCAAAGGAAAACAATCCATATACATCTAGAAGGTTGATTCACTTGCTCTCCTTCTTTAGATGATGCAAAAATGATCACTTCCAAAGAAACCTCAAATCATCAGAGGGTTCCCTTATCAACTGCCAAGAGTTGCATTTACATAAACACAAGAGTTGTTTTACATAAATTTGGAGTCATTGTCAGTCATTCCTTTCCAGTTTTGTCATGCCAATGGCATGTCTCAAACCTACAGGTGCAGTACCAGTAGTTTGACTGCTACAATCTTTACAGACAGCTGCCAATCACAGCGCTGAGCCTCCGTCCCGGCATGACCAGGATGTCAGGCCTTGGGCCTACATGAGCCAGGATGTGGGGCGGTCGCTCCCCACGGCTCCCGCTTCTGCACCATCCTCGGGCCCCTCCGCTCCCTCACTGGCAGCATGGCAGGTGGGAATAAGCACTTTTTACTCAACAGTACCACTAGGGCACTACTAAGGAATCATTCAGCACTCCAAATGACAGCCCCATTATTTAAACTAATCTTGGGCCGCAAGCATGTGGAATTGTACATGTCCCAGGGACAAAAATTTGTCACAGAATGACCCAAGCACAAATGTTACTTAAAGAACAGACCGTCTTAATTGTCAACAAGTGTTTTCAATGTATCCTGAACTACATCTTAACAGAAACGTTTCACCTAGGACAGTGAACATGTGAAAGCATTTTCATGGTACCACATCTTGTTAATACACAGTAGTGATTGTTTTATGATCTACATGTACATATGGTAGTACACCGGTCAGGACCAGACGGACAGCTACATGTGTGACAGAGGTTCTGCCAACGAGCAGTGAGTCCTCACAAGGGTTTTAACCCTATAACAAAGTTTGTGTTCACAGCCAGGGGTCTGTACACCATTTGCAACCATGTCTCTGACATGTATGACATTTCTGTAAACACAGTTACAGCTGCACATGAAGGCAGGGGGGATTGTTGGGTGGGAGTTTTGCCAGTTATCCCCATGGATCCACCTTATGCACTACCAGTGAGTACGGATGACAAAGTACCTAGAGGCTCCTCTGTTTGGTAGTGAATAGCTTTAGAAGAGTCTTCTGTCATGCAACAATCTTAATTGACGTTAAGTCCCTCCATGGGGAAGACAAACCTACATACCTAATGGATTGGTGTGTAGTTTTGGACCCCATGGTCTAATTTTGGGTGAATCCACCTCATGCATGGGGGGTGACGTAAACAAGGTAAGCAGCCTTCAATGATGACAGGGCATGGGAACAGCCCAGCATGGTATATTACAGTTTGTAGGGAGCAGACACATTCCTTGTATGGTGGCACACGTTGCATAAGGGATAGTTCAGTGAGGTGATTGGTACCTAAACGTTTGGCTACAACAAACAATGTTATAGGGTTAAGGCCCTGTGACGTCGCCGTTCCTACCTTCCACCGGTGTCTTTTGACTCGGAGCCCCCGCGCACCTTACTGAAGAGCTTCTGGCTGGAGCGTCGGATGGATGCACGCAGTTTGGAGAATGATCCGCTACGTTTGAGCTTGCCATTACCATCCTGTGTTGCGAAAGAGCCCTGCCAGATTAGAGGTGACTACTGTTTCAGGGAGGAAACGACGGTCATCCACTGACCAGTTAGTACAAGATGTGCTAACAAAAAAAAGTCAAACTGATCACGGGAAACAACTGTTGTGATTAGTTTCCCCACATTTTGTTATCAAGCATGCACCACTAGAAAATCTAACAATATATCTTCCTCTACTCAACAATCACAAGACAGTCATTCATTTCTAGCACTTCCCTGTCCTTGCAGGAGAGATGAGCATGCAAAATCATCAAAGTCTACATTGTTCTACTCTACATGTACTCTATTTGATTGGAGGGACCTGCAGGCATAGGCCCAAATCACACTCATATTGACAACTGATTGGTCACGTGATCTCATCTGATTCTGGTCGAAGGTAATAGGTCGAGGATTACTGGGACAGTTTACTGATTGGTTGGCGATCACATGGCTTGAGTCTTGAACATGGTGCAACCTACAACCCTTCTCCATGACGGGGTGAATACAGCCACCGACACCTCCGGTGCACCATGCAAAAGGCTTCTTGGTGGAACCATTGTAATGTTAGGGCTTTTAAGCTCAAGCTTCTTACAGTGCTACTCCTATGAGTCAGAAATGTTATAGGACATTGGCTTAGACCCATGATTACTGCCAGGGAACTGCTACAGATATGGGGACATTTCTAGAGGCTAATACATGGGATTAGTTAGGTAGAACATGAATATGTGTTATATTTGATGCTGTTATAATATCTGCTACTAGTGTTAAGGAAAAACAGCTTTTATGAACAGTAATGATGAAGGTAGAAACCAAAACATATTTTGTAGCTGATGCCATTTAAAATGGAAGTGAATGCCTCCAAGAACATCTCAGAAAAGTCTTAAAAGTACAGTTAGCTAATAATACTCATGGCAGACCAGATTTAACTGTTGAAGTACTATCTATTTATACAGAGCACCATTTCCTTTCCCACAATATTTACATTATCATCAAAAGAATTGAATAATGCTACAGCAGCTACACCGAAGAAGACTGAAGAACACTGCTTCCAATCACCCGAAACTAGTCATAATACATACTAGCCCAAGCACATGAATATTAAAACTGACCTAAGTGCATGCAAGGAACATTCTTATAAATATGTTATAAACCAGTCTTATGAGTGAGTTAAGTTGCATGAAGGGAAGTGATATGGGGCATGTGGGTGGGGGTACACAGGAGAAATGAAATGGATTGATGACCTTCTACTACAAAGTTTTCACACACAGAGAGCAATATCAGGAATTATCTTTTTCTTTAAACAAGAAAATATCAGACTTGAAACTCAGAAGTCTTTAGCACAGAGTTTACACTGTAGGCCCTAAGAGGATATGAGCAAGAAAAATGTAGTAGTAATTGTCAAATGGGAAAGACAACTCTAAACTTGCCTCCTCATACAGTAACTATTATAAAACACAACGATTTGTGGAACATTCCTGCCTTGCACATTTTCTGTATGTGTGGAAACCCTGAGTAGCACTTATAACTCAGCACTGCACACCAACACTCTGCACAGCAAAGGAACACCATATCAGTGTCTACCATGTGGAACAGCTTACCTGTTCAACAGTTCTATTTGTTTGCTAATGCACACTACATTATTATCTCCAAAGAGGCACCCAACACTGTGATGTGGCAATTCTGAGGTTTCATCAATTTAAGTCCCACAACCATTTACAGAATGTGTAAGTTGTAGCCTTGAATTCTTTAATTAATACTGTGGTTAAAATCCTTTTAAAAAAATCACCCCACGAAAAACAGCTCACAAAAGGTCAGGTTGTTAGCAAACACATCTCCACCTCCTTCATCATTTTCTTTGGGTACTGTTAATGGCCGTTAGAAGTTGTTAGAATGAAGGATGAGTGGTGACTCTTGTTGAAGTTAGCCCGTTCGATTTTTAAATGCCCGGTTAAGGGCAGCAAGGCTCTACCACACAAGAAGCCTACTGCACGACGCACGCAGAATGTCGAAGACTATACTCACCCCGCTCCACTCCGCGCCAATACTCACTTCTTCTGTCCCATCATGCTTCTCATACGACACACTCTCGGAGTCCCCGCGCTCACGGGACTTCTCGCGCTTTCTCTTCTCGTCTCCGTCGTGTGTTCCAGTCTCGTTCAGGATTTCACGGACTTTGGTGTCCCGTACGATATCTAGCGCCTGGGGATGGGCAAGACCGCGCTTGAAATTTACTGAAACGGCCTGCAGGGTTTCATGTTAATGGAGGAAATGCCATCATCAGTAATGCCCAACATCACAACATGCTCCCACAGACAAACATGCACATGCAAAATTCTGTAGTAACCATGATAAGTGCCGTGTAGACTGCAGGAAAAAAAATCTGTTTTGGGCAATGAAACTTCCTGAGAACTTTTAGAGCATTTTGTTGAACCATGTGCAGAATCAAACCAACAAAATGTACCACTGGACTATTGCTTGAGCTGCACATGTTCAAAAGGAGTTTTTGAAATTAAGATCTTTTTGGAAGAACGCTTGTTAGGTAAAAATGTACTTAAAAGACGGGTTTTGGAACTACTACTCCTTTCTTCAATCGAGTAACTTTGTGCTAATCAATGCTGGCAAACATTTCTAGCAATTTTGTGGTAGTTTCATATATTATAGCTATGCAAACACTGAACAAGGCACCTAACATGGCTGAACAACCATCCATACATGCAGAAATATGGCAAACACATCAGCCCATCACAGAAACATGCAGAAAAGTAAAGGAACGTCTACAAAAGTCATATTAGAACAACTCTACACAGCTGGTCTACAGGCTCAGAGTCTGCACTTCTGATTTCATTCTGGTGTCTAAGTGAAGCTGGCCTATTTTCATGATATCATAACAGCCAAGACTGATATCAGTCCATGTAAGTATCAAATGTGTGCAGCATACATTTTAAAATTTCTTCTAAATAAAACCTTTCTAAATCATGTATGCCCTCAAGCAATACTGAAAGATGCTACTTTCTTTATTTGGTTATGTATGCTGGTATTACAAGAGATCTATTAAGACAGTTTGACAAAATGTCTTTCACATTTCTGTTCTACTTTTTGCTTAATTTTCTTTTTAACTCTGAGCTGTAAACTAAACCTAGCAAATACAACAATGTTAATCAACAACAAGCGTGAACACAAAGTGTTGCATGCAGAACCACTGAACAGCACGAGACGGGCAAGCAGAATGAGAGAGTAGCAGACTGGAGCGGACCTCATTGTCTACCGAGCCACACAGGGTGGAGAAAGTGGAGCCTTGACTTACACTGCAGTTCTACAGAACCCAGCCGCAGTGGAGAGACCAGGGCAGGGTCAGTACAGTAGTTAAACAGGGAGTGGGTCAGTACATCATTGGGGGTTAGTACATTACTTCAAAAAGGGGGAGGCAAGCAAATCATTGAGGCTGGTACAATGTACATGTACTGTATATGCAGGGTTTGTTTCAAAAATAATTTTCATCCTTTCAGATTCTTTTTTTTTTAGATTTATGAATTTCCATGGTAATATCACATCATTTTGCAAGACAAGCTATAAAAGATGCATCCCTAAGACATCACAATGTCTCCATTCACTTCTCTCTTTTCTAATATCATACTAACCCTGAATATACTTTGCCACCTAGGGAGTCAGCAGGTATTGTATAAATTGTTAACATTTGGGTTACCAGTTCTCCCATACATAAACATTCAGTTAATGCATTGGACACATCTACATTTTGTACATTGGATATACAGACTGGTATTTCAGTCTCAGCTTCAACTGACATGCTGGTAACTCCAACCCTTCATGCATCTTGTTGTAAATACATGTAAGATAACAGTTATATGATCAAACCAAGATTAATACAGCATAAAGATTGAGTTTCTGGACAGAAAAGAGTCGCAACCTTAATGCCTATTCCATCATGCACTAGCCCCAGCAGGCTGCCAAGTATTGCCATAGTGTGGTCAGATGACCATGAAATGACAAGAGCTATCAAAGAACTTAATGAGAATGACAAGGATTGGAATTCCCAAACATTTTCTTGCATAACCAAGTTACTACAACAGAATAAGACTAGTAGCGTGACACAGATGCATTTTGACCATGTGTTAGTGTTAACGTTAGTTTGGTTAGTAGTGTAAGTACAGCCATAGCTGATGAGTTACCTGTTTACGTGATCTGAGGGCGCAGTCTTCCAGAGTCTCGGCAGCCTCGTACTTGCCCTGGCGCCGGTACAGAGCGCCCAGGTTCTTCAGGGTGGTCGTTACTGTGGGGCTGTGAAACAAAGTGGAGACCAGTCTGTCAGTAACAGCTGGGAAACTGGGACGACTTTGTGTCCTTCTGTTCTTAATGTGTTTCTTTGTCACGCACGGCCATGGCTGTATAACCATTTATACACAAGAGCTTTTACAGAAATTACATATCTTTATAGAATAGATGCATTTAGACTTGAATGTTATGCAGTTGTGATACAATCAAGGATGTGTACAAACCACATGTAAGAAACCTCTGACCCATGAGGTCATTGTTAGTAATACATACCTACAGATGTACTTGTTGTAGGGAGGTGCTGGTTAGTGGCATGCCCACTACAGTTCCCTTACCAAACCCGTGCAAAAAGAGTCTTCCCGTCCATTACAGATGGGGAGAGGTGAGTGTAAGATAACATGAGAGGGACACACACACTCTGTACCTGTCAACTTTGGCTGCCTTGTGCCAACCACCATAGTCACCGTATGGAGTGTCTTTGAACTTTCCCTGTAAGAAGAAGAATGTAACTTATGTCTGGTTTCAATGTTAAGTTTTGACATGTTTCATTGTGGCTTTACAATGTACACTGTATAGATGAAATACCTATTTTAGCTGCCTGATGGGATTCCACTTAAATACTGTGTGAAACATGAGATAGCCACATACAATTGGGGCTAACTATCTTTGACATTACTTTGACTCTCCTCAAAATACTGACAAAATACTGACAAAATATAATTCTACTGATCAATGATAATTTTGCTATCCTCATGACTGAACCTACCCTGTTCTCTTCTCTCTCCTCTGCATGCATCCAGATGGGTTTACTGTCAGAGCCTGGAGAACATCACAACATTACACATCACAGGGAGAACAATGGGCTGTCTGGGACTTAATTGTGATACAGAAATGACGTACAAACTTTCTTATAACACATTATCTCACCAAGGACAAAACTGGTTATGTTTTGTGACCAAGATATTTTTTAACTTTGGTATGCTAAAAGGCCTTGCAAATCATAATAGGGCAAGAACTATAGTATTACATAAGCCACATTTAAGAGCAACTGACAGGCCCATGCCAGTGACAGGTCTGGACAACACATTATTGTCAAAAGCAGTATTAAGTCTGGTCCACTGGTAGTGACTCCTGGAGAACTTGTGAGTTGCACCTACTGAGAACATCTCACAAACTACTCACCAGCTCCGAACTCCTTCTCGTGTGCCCGTGTCAAGACCTGCTTGTACAGAGTCTCAGCCGCCTTGTACTTTCCCTGCTTTAGGTAGGCAGAGGCCTGGGGGAGGGGGGCAGGTATTCACATCAGCAGTGCATAGAGATGGAATTTTTGCTATTCCCTGAGCTACATGAGTCCATCTATTAGCGTCTAAAATGTGAAGATTTTTGCCTAACAAATTATTTGAGGATAAACCTTTTTACTTTTTTCAGTTTTACCAACCCACCTTTCATAACATTGATTGTTCCAAGACACTTTTAGAAACCTGCTCTGTGCACTCTTAATTTTCAAAGTAAGCTTATCTCTACTTCATGGTTCATTCATGGTATGTTGCACTAGCAGTACTTATACTACAGTAGTAGACACCTGGAAAATTGTGCACCATATCATCTAATGCCAACATTCCCCTGATTTCAGAACTCTCTTTAAGAATAAAGATACCTCCTGGCAAAGGTCTGACTACTACTACTACTTAACTTACAAAACATTTACACCACAAGAGAAGGGACGTGAAAAAAGAGGTGGAGAAGATGATCATGCATTTCATCCTACACTACATGGAGGACTGTATGGGACCTGGAGACTTAACTGTATAATATTGACAGATCTTGTTAAAAAATCTGCCAGA